TAATCAATGCTCCCAACAGTGTCCCCTACGTCGTGTCTGGTTCTGGCTCTTGGCATTGTGCTAGGGCAGCAGAGTTTTAGGGGTGGGAGAGGCCTCTCCTTACAGACAGGAGGGTTAGGCAATTCCCCCTCAGCTCTGCAGGCCTCGGGTGGCATGGGAATCCCTCACCATGAGAGGTGGACATCAGTCACTTTGCACATGAGATTGTAAATCTCCAGTAGATTTACAACTGCCTGTCATTTGGGAAAAAGGAGCCAGTGAGGATGACAGGCAGAGCAAACTTTGGTGTGTGCCTGAGTCCCGGGCACTGAGGAAGCCCATGAGACCTGGGGCAGGCCCGGGCCTCCGCTCATGTGGCCACATTGGGGAACCACTAATGTAGAGGAGGCAGCTCTGCCCTCTGACAGGATAGGAAGGCATGAGATGATGGTGCTGGCTATAGGGTTTTACAATCCAAACAGCAGCAGGGAAGCCCCAGGAGCTGTCCCTCACCCTTGCTGTGTTCTGCAGGTCCTGTCTCTGGACACAAACATCACAAACCAGGTAAACAAGCTGAACCGGGACCTGCTCCGCCTGGTGGACGTCGGCGAGTTCTCGGAGGAGGCTCAGTTCCGAGATCCCTGCCGCTCCTACGTGCTCCCAGAGGTCATCTGCCATAGCTGTAACTTCTGCCGGGACCTGGACCTGTGCAAAGACCCCTCCTTCTCTCAGGTAGGCCTGGTCCACTCATGAGTGACACATCCCCACCCTTTTTGGGTTACATCTGCTAGCTTTGACATGAAAGGTTTAAAAACAGACCCCTTTCTTAAGGCATTCAACTACCACATGCTAGAATATTGTCCCAATAAACATGTAAGGATGATGTCGGTGATGTGAGCGTGCCCTGGAGCGGAGGGAGCTGCCGCACGTGGTTACACACCTCTCCAGTCTCAACACTGGTCTTCTCAGCCTGATGTGGGGATGCTGCCAGGGAAGACTGGGCAGAGAGTGACCTGCTCCCTCTCCTATGCCCAGGATGGGGCTTTGCTGCCCCAGTGGCTTTGCTCCAACTGTCAAGCTGCCTATGACTCGTCAGTAATCGAGATGGCTCTGGTGGAAGCCTTGCAGAAGAAACTGATGGCCTTTACCCTGCAGGACCTGGTGAGCAGTGGGCCTGGCTCTGGGACTTCCCTCCACCCAGCCCACCCACCTCACAGGGCTTTTCAATTAGCTGTTTGCAACCATGGGAAGCCAGGGCTGTATGCAGGTCTCAGGTCATAACCTGGTCCTTAAGGTGACCACCTCTTGGGTGGTCTACAGGCCCAAGTGATTCAGTCTTATAGCATCTATTGGGCACCTACAGTGGCCAAGTGCTGGCTTTATGGATGTTTCGTTGTAATAGAGGGAGATAGACAGCAAACAAAAGCAAGATAAAGTGTGTAAATGGGATGAGTGTCAAAAATGCAAGGGGGGGGCATGCGGTGTGGGTGTGGGTATGAGACACAGAGGGCATGTTCAGCATTAGATGCAGGGGACCTCTCAGCAAAGACCTGAGGGAGGCATGGGGTCTGGGCAGGAACAGCAGTGCCTGGTTTTACCTGGAGTGGGTTGGTGCCTGCAGCAAGGGTGCTGGGAAGCAGCTAGACATTTGGATGAAGCCCACTCTGAGGTCTCTATTTTATCCACAGTTGAGGTGCAGGTTGTGGGGGACAGGGGACTCCTGACGGGCTTTTTCTCGTTTCAGATCTGCCTGAAGTGCCAGGGTGTAAAAGAGACCAACATGTCCGTGTACTGCAGCTGTGCGGGCAACTTCGCCCTCACCATCCACACCAAGGTTGGGGCTGCTGCCCCCTTGGCCTCACCCACACCTGCTCTCTCCTTACACTTCCCAGCCTCAGCCTGCATCCCTACATCTCTGGGCCTGGGTCTCATGGCAACTGGTTATTCCACAGGTCTTCATGGAGCAGATCAGAATCTTCCGGAACATTGCCCAGCACTACGGCATGTCATACCTCATGGAGACCCTGGAGTGGCTGCTGCAGAAGAACTCCCAGCTGAGCCATTAGCAAGGCGGGACTGTCCCCTCTTTCTGCCCCAGCTTCCCAACTCGTGACCATGTCCAGGACTCAGCACAAGAGAAACTGACCCTCAGGGAGCTTTCGGGGAGTGGGTCACTTGGCCCAAACCAGCCAACCAGCCAGAGCAGGAAGTGGCCCACCTCCTGGTTCCCAGCCCCAGCCTTGGTCAGGGCAGCATGGGCCCAAGAGCATCTCTAGCAAGGGGTCCTGACAGGTCGTTTCTCACTGCGTAAACACGTGTGGCCTCTGCTGTTGCTGCTGCAGGGCCCTAACCCTGCCCCACCTCTGTGTCCCAGCTGCCCTTGGGGGTCTTCTGTTTGAGCTGAGACCTGAGGGTGGCTGAAGGCCAGACCCAAGGCAGGGTGACAGGAGTTTGCAGCCCATGCTCTTCAGTAGTTACCTCGAAGTGCCGCCCCACAGCTTTGCCCCATGGGTGTGGCTAGTTCCAGGAACCAGGACCTGCACCCTTGGGAACCTGGCCATCTTTTGTACAGTGGGTCTCCAGGACTTGGGCTTCTCTGTGGAGACTTCCTGGTGAGAGCAGGGGCTGCAGGGTTTCCCATCAGGTGCAGTCACCTCATCTGGGCTGGGGCTTCTCGGGTGGAGCTGGGCCATAGCCACCTGCCCTCAGAACCTGCGTGTGCCCAGAGGGGGGCCTGGGGAAGGGTGAGGCGCACCATTGATCAGGGACTTTACAGCCTGTGTTACCACCTGGATTTTAGAAAAGTAATTCTTCACCCACAAGATTTTAGGTTCTTTCCTTCGTGGGAGGAGGGGGAGGAAATGGAAGCAGCCATTTTGTCAGGAGGAGGCGGGTTCTGTTCTGCTCAGCCCCAGGGGTTGCTCCAGGACCTTTGACCCTGCAGGCACCACACTCAGGGTTTCCAGCCCCAGGCAGGGACTCAGTACCAGCTTAGAGCCCTGTCCTGCAGAGCTGAGGTGGGCAGGCAGGGCCTTTGCTGAGCACCAGCTTCTCCCCCCGTTCCATCTTCAACCCCAGATATAAGACATGCCCTGTGCACCTCATTTTTAACAAAATACAGCTCGGAACCGGACAGGAAAAACCACCAAGTAGGTGAGGCAGCAAACTCAGACACCCCGAACAGTGGGCTTGCAGGAAGCCTAACCCTGGCGGCTGTGGGGCCTCCTGGAGCCTGGTTTAAAGTCCTTGCTGGCTCACTTCTGTGTCAGTTACACATCGAATTTTCATCTTTTACCTCTTAAAACGTGCTGTAGCCTGGCCAGCATGGCTCAGTGATTGAGCACTGACCTATGAACCAGGAGGTCAAGGTTCAATTCCTGGTCAGGGCACAGGCCTGGGTTGCAGGCTTGATCCCCAGCAGGGGGCATGCAGGAGGCAACCAATCAGTGACTGTCATCATTGATATTTCTCTCTGAAATCAATAAAACCTTTTTTTAGGTAAAATAGAAAAATCTTAGTGATGTAAAGTAAAATATTTTTTTAAGTGTGCTGTTATGTTTGCACACAGTCTTGGTCTCTGGCAGGGAAGGAGGGAGGCTAAACAGCTAATATGTCTGTGCAGTTGCATTGGCCCCTGGGTATCGCCCGCTGGGCTGGGCCAGGCCCAGTGGCCAAGAGAAACCTGACGCTGGCTGGAAGGTGGATGGAGACCAAGTCGGCCCCAGATGGAGATCAAATCAAATTAGGACCAGGGGCAGGGGGGGACTGGGCTTCCTGGTAGTGATGCTGGAGACATGCGGGGGTGGCGGGGGGGGGCTGGTCCACAGCCTTGCCCTGGATGCTGCACTCCCTGTCCCTGCAGCAGGTTGGGGCCCTGGGCACCCTGGCCTCTGCAGCTCTCAGTGGTTCCCCAGAGGCCAGCTCGGGTAGGGGCATTTGGGGTTCAAGGCCCTGGCTACTCGTGCTTTGGAAACCTGAGCCCCTGGCTCTGGTTCTTGAGCTTACAGCCCAGCCCCAACTAGAAAAGCCAGTTCCTCCGAAACTAGAGCTGGACATCTGTGAGCCAGACACGGGATGTCACAGGCATTGGGTGACCTGTGCAGCCAATGTCCCAAGGGTGGGAGGGTCTGTGGAGGTGGCTGAGTGGGGGCTTCTGGAGTGTTTGCTGGTTGCAGCGAGTGGGGGAAGCCCAGCTATCAGGTGTGGGCAGGTGGGAAGGTCATTTGGACTTGGGGACTCCAGGGCTGAACCCTCCCTCCCCTTGAATTTGGGACTGATGAGGTCACAGGTGAGATCTGTGCAGGGCACTTGGCTCATGCCTCCACACCCGCCCATAAGTCATCACTGTTGCCAGAGAAACCACTGACCAAAGAAGTTCTGCTGTCCCCCAGAGCAGGGTCTGGCCAGACAAGGCCACTCAGTGTAGTGACAGTTGTAGCATCTGAGGATGCAGTAACCAGGTTACCCACAGGCCTGCCTGGGCTAGCTCCAGTTCCCTGCACTCGGTCCCCCCGGCCCTGTCCACCCCATTGCCCAGCACCGAATTCCCGCCCTCCAGTCTCCCTCAGAACCTGGAAAGGCATTTTGGTTTAAGAGCCAGTGGAACCTAAGCTTTTGTTTCCTTGGGTACAACTCATCACCTCCCTCCTGGCTCCCATCCTGTCACCATCCTTGTCCCTTGTTTTGAGGCTGGTGAAGGCACCAAGGGCAGTGCTGAGATGAGTTGGGGTCAGCCTCTGTCCCCCACCCCCACTGGCCCCTGGTCAGACGTGACGGGGACCGGGCTGGACGTGGAGGGCAGCAGTGAGCCTGCACACTGCTGGTCAAAGCACCCGCAGCCCCCTGCACAGGGACCCACCGTTGCATACTTGTCTTCGTGGCCTCAAGACACTTTTCCCCAAACACAAGGCAAGACGGTTCTGGACACAGGTTTATTGGATTCTGGATGTGATTTCTTGGCTAGAAGGCAAGCAAAGGGTCTGGGCAGGTGACCCCAGGCTGTGTGGGTGGGGAGGGGTGAGGAGCCTGTGGAGGACAGCTGGGAGCAGGGTGCTGCCCCCTTTCTGTCGGCCCACTGCCCAGTTGGATGGGGCTCCTTTGGTTCCCAGTTGTGAGGAGGCATGTTGTGGGGGCAGGGCCTGGGTTCTTCATACTGGCCCCAGCCATGCTTCAGGGCCAGACCCAGCCTTTGTCGCAATGTGAGGGGAGGTGGAGGTGGGCTCAGAGCTGGGCTAAACCTCGGGGGTCTGTGAGCGTGGAGTCCTGCTGGGAAGGCTCGGAGGCACAAGGCCCTGGTCCTGCACCCCGATCGGGAATGTCCACCATCTGCTCAGATGGGGCAGAGGTGGGACAAGGCCGTGGTGGCGGGACGGCCCCGGCCAGGCTCTGTCCCTCTTCCTGTGGTCTGCCTGAGTCTGTGGAGCAGGGACAGGGGGGAGGAGGGGCCTGGCCCAAAACAAGGGCCAGGGTTACAGGCCAGCTACCTGGGGAGTCCCTTGGCGTACACACCTTGTCAAATTTCTTATGGCTGTAGACTTTGTTTTTGTTCATGAATGTTAGCAAGATCCAGTCACACAGGAAGGAGCCCTAGGGCCAGCAAGACAGACGAGTGAGGGTGTGGCATGACCCCCACCCACCATAGACACACGTGCGCGTGCCCAGGCCCCAGTGTGTGTTCCTTACCACCCCGATGGAGGTCAGCGCTGTGGCCAGATTAATGATGGTAGGAATCAGGCTGAACTTGCCTGCCTGGGGAGAGGAGGCTGCCTTAGACCATCAGGGGTGGGGTTGTGTGGTGGAGGGTATGGAACTGGACCAGCTCAATTCTGGGCCAGTCCACCTGGATCCAGGTAGGTAGGGCCAGCTGGTTTACCTGTCCGTGCACAATGACATCAATGCGGATCCCATAGGCCTTGATGAGTGTGCGGGTGGTGGTGCCGTTTATCTTGTAATACTTTGCAAACCTGGGATGGAATGACCCGGAAGCATGTCAGAGCCTGGGACGGAAAGACTGGATGCTGAGCCCTGGCTACCTGACCCTGAGGGACTGGCGATGGGCACCTGCCTGTTGCCAGCGGGAGGCAGCGCCAAGACTGCAGACTGCTGGCACCGCTGGGCCTTTGAGCACCTGCCCTGTTTGCTCCTGTGCCGTCACAGCCAGGTGCAGGAGGATCCAGGGGCCCAAAGCCAAAGTACCTGAAGTTGTAGCCGGATGAAGCTGGGACGTGCTTGGGGTCGAGTCTCCGGAAGGAGTACTTGGGGTTGCAGTTTGATGCCGACAGGTCCAGGTCACAGTCCCAGTTGATAATGACCCCAATCACGCCACCCTGCCCAGAAGTGGGCACAGAGATGGGGGTCAGGGTGGGCACACAGGACCTTTAAGAGCCCTGGGGTCCCGCTGAGGCTGTGCATGGGGTGCACATCATGGGGCACCCAGGGCAGCTCAGGGCCGAAAGCCAGGGGGGCTTGGTGAGCACCCCACTTCTGAGGCACGAGGGGACAGTTAGGGACTGTCTATGACCGGGAGTCAGTAGCTTAGCAGGAGTCATGCACAGCCAGATGGGGCTGCCGATCGTGTTTCCCGAGGAGCGCCAAGCCGGCCAAGACTGCAACGGGTCGGCCGGGGCGGAAACCAGCCTCACCGTGTGCGCCAGCTCCGTGAAGTTCTCCCCTGCCCGCTCCACAATGAAGCCCAGGCGGAAAATGGGGCAGTACAGGTGGGACACCTCATCGAAGGTGCAGTGCCTCAGGTAGCCATCCCTCCGGTTCTCGATGTTGCCCCTAGGACGGCGGGCGTCAGGGGGGAGGCGTCCTCAGGAGGCCGGCCCCCCATCGCCCACCTGAAGGCTCTTACTTGGAGAACTGGAACTTGGGGTAGTGGATGCTGTTCTTGATGAGGATGGTGAAATTTGGGGCCATCTTACCGAGGAACTGGCTGAGGAGGCAGAGACTGGGCGAGTTTAGTCTCCCCC